TGCAGTCTTCTCCTCGTCTGGAGGATACATATCTCCCCAATAAGAAATAGGAAGATTAGCTTGCGCCATGATTGATCTAACCATGTCAAGCAATGTGCGATTCCTTCTCTCCGCTACACCATTTTGCTGCGGAGTCTTAGGAATTGTCAATTGGCTGATGACTCCTTTTTCCTCACAGAGCACTTTAAATTGCTCAGATAGATACTCACGTCCTCGGTCAGTCCTTAGAGCCTTAATGCTCCTATCTAATTGATTCTCAACCTCATGAACATACCGTCTAAAGCAATCCAATGCTTCTGACTTGTGAGAAATCAAATAAACATGACCAAAACGCGTGCAATCATCTATAAATGTGATGAAATAAGGGGCTCCATGTCTTGCCCTCACATTCATTGGTCCACATATATCAGAATGAATAAGTTGCAATGGGACTGATGCCCTTATGGCTTTCCCAAATGGTTTCCTTGTTGCCTTACCAGCAAGACAGTGCTCACAAGTGCGTAAAGTGACTCTAGCGAGTGGGCCTAAAAGACTTTCTCTAGCTAATCTAGTCATCCTGTCTTGCCCTATGTGGCCTAATCTGGCATGCCATCTCATAGAATCATTATCACAAAAATTATTGGTGTGGCCCAAGAATGAGACCCATAAAATTAAATATGGAAGGGAGTCATTCCCATCGTTTTTGTAAGTAATTTTACTAAATGCAAGATGCTAAGATAGGAATATGGAAAAAGTATAATGAGACTTTAACTATTTTTAATTTTACTAAATGCAAGATGGTAAGATAGGAATATGGAAAATGTATAATGAGACTTTAACTATTTTGACATTATATTCCATCTAAGTGCTTATAGAATGTCATTTGTTAGCATGGTCCTGAAAAAACAAAATTAATTTAAAGTTGTCATTTTCATTTTGGAAAGGATTTTCACAAATAGAATCTATCTACAAATCTTAAATATTTGGTTCTAATTTTTTTAATTATATTTTTTGAATATTAAGTTTTTTATTTTTCATTTTTTTTAATTTTTAGTGAAATTTTTAAATATTTTAAACAATATTTTTACTTTTTAGATACATCTAATCTAGATGTACCTAAAAAGTAAAATATTTGTAAAAAAAATATTTAAAAAAATCAACAAATATATAAGAATATGAAAAGGTACTTAATTTTTATATTTTATTTGTATTTTTGGTATTTAGTGAATTAATTTTTTTTCGCAAGTACCAAAAAAATAAATACTAACTAGTTCCATTAGTGTGTACTCCAACGACACTTGCTAACCAATCAAAATAACTTAAATAATTTCAAAAGAAAATTACTATAAAACATATATACAAAATATAATTATTTTAAAACATATATACAAAATATAATTATTTTTTTATGACATGACACGTGTACTTAGTGTTAACGTGGTTGCTGAAATAACATTTACAAAAAAATACATTTTTTTAAATAATATTTTTATATGATCATATTCTTAAATAAAGAGAGTGAGATATACAGTTATACTTGATCTTTGAAGAACTGATTGGAAGGCTAGAAAATAAAGCTTTGCTTGGAAATAAATTATTTTAATAATATTTTTATTTTTTAATTAAAATATGAGGTAAAAAAAATTTAGTATTTTTAAAATATGGTTCTAATTTTTTTAATTATATTTTTTGAATATTAAGTTTTTTATTTTTCATTTTTTTTTTAATTTTTTAGTGAAATTTTTAAATATTTTAAACAATTTTTTTACTTTTTAAATACATCTAATCTAGATGTACTTAAAAAATAAAATATTTGTAAAGAAAATATTTAAAAAAATCAACAAACATATAAGAATATGAAAAGGTACCAGGGTGAAAATAAAAGAAGCAAAATACCTATAATTTTATAAAGTCTATTGAAAGCTATAAATTACAATATCAATGAGCAAAATGTGTAAAATGTGCATGTGGAGTTAAATCGTGTCGAATTTTAGTATATTTAGGCTTATTTATTAAGATTTTAACGAATTTAAATTTAATAATAATTTAACGAATTGAGCTCGAGCCAAGTTAACTTAGGTTTAACTCGAACTTGAGCCTATTTGCAAATCTTAATGAGTAAAAAAAATTATAAATTTATACTTATGTATGAGACTAAAGTTACAATTAAAACTTTGATTATACAATTACATTTAAGCCAAGTTTGACATCTACTAAATAATACAAAAATTTAAAAAGTCACTATCCTATTTAAGTCACATTATCTTATTTAAATCGCATCACATCTTTAACCAATCACATCAAACCCAACCCAAACCCAACCCATATAAGCCAATAAGTCAAAAAGTGTACTTTTTTAGAACATCCAAAACCAACCCTTACAATATATATAAATATACTAAAAAAAAAGAGTTAATATCTTAATAAAATAATAATATCTACTACTACTATTAAATAAATATATTATCTATAATTAACTATCATTTATATACAAATAAATTTAATTATTATTTATATTTATATTATTTAATATTAATATATAAATAATATATTTATTTTATTATTTAAATAAATATGAAACGAATGGGGTTGAGTTTTAATATATTTAAGCTTAACTCAAACATAATAAAAATTTAAAGAAATTGAATTAAAATAGTGGTGTTTTAGGAAGTTGAAATGGGATTTAGTTTTAATATATTTAAGCTTAACTCAAACATAATAAAAATTTAAAGAAATTGAATTTAAACAGAGTCTTTACGTTGAGTTCAAACATATTCACAAATGGGTCTCTCCATTTGCCCTAATAAAAATGTTTCCATAGAGAAAATGCTGAATTAGGTAAAAGATTAAAAGGCCTATTTTAGAAAGAAATTAACTTTTTAATTTTTTTTAAAAACTTTTTAATGTTTCTTGGTGAGAAAAAAAATAAATTAAAAGCTGATAAAGTAAACTTTAACTCACTTTCTAAAATAGGCTGAATTAATGTACAAACATTAATTATGATATTTTCATGAATAATATTATATGTATTATATATATCAAGTAGTATACCAACTAATGATGTGATATAATTTAAGATATTTTTAATATTTGTAATATGATTAATGAGTAGGGTCAATAATGAATAATATTATATGTACCAATTAATATACAAACTAGTGTACCAATTGATAATGCAACATAATTTAAGAGGTTTTTAAAATTTGTAATGTAATTGATGAATAAGATTAATAATAATGTCATAACTAATATTAATACACTAATTAATATATATAATACCATCAATCAATAATAATATCATAACTGACATCACCATATTATCATTCACCCTACTCATTAATCACGTTATAAATATCACAATCGTGCCAATAATTAGTTCTTATCTTTATTCGAATGGAAATGAAATGAAATCAAGCAAGCAAAGCACACACTCATTCACACACACACGCACACAGAGTAATGTGACAGAGCGTCGAATCTAAAGAATCATTGAGATCAGAGAGAAGTGTGTGCAGAGCAGATTGAATTCCTCAGTTTGAATGGATCGAAGAGAGATGGATGGAGGGCATGTATCTAGGGCTGATGAGCATCGAGTGCTTTCCGATTTGTCTGCTTTCCCAAATGTCGCAGCAATGTTGGCCTTCGACCAGATCTGGAAGAAGAATCGAACCGAGAAGAAGAAGCGAAAAATCGACCAAATTCATACGGTATCAAATACTCGCATTGTGTATATATGTAAACTAAACCTATGCACTTCTTTTTACTACTGAATTATGCCCTTTTTTTTAAATATATTTTTATTATTTAAATTTCGGAGTATGTGCGAGACTGTTTAGGGTAGCTTCTGATTTTATTAGAGAGAAATAGCTCGAAAAAAGCTTAATTTTATTTGAAAGAAGGATGCTTTTGGTTTCTACTTTTTTTAACTAACAATAAGCTGGAGCAATCATGCCCATATGTATATATATGTATATGTATGTGTGTGTGAACTCAAAAATTGATATTTCTTAGATGGGAAATGTTTCACATTATAAGTAAAGTTATGATTTTTATGGTGAGATTTTTGAATTTTTGTGGCAACAGCTCAAGGCTAATTTATTGAATGCTTTGATAGGAGCAACACCATAAAAAACCTGGGCAAATGCAAGTTACTGAGGGCTCAAAGCTTCATGAAGTTGTGATTTTATCGGACGATAGTGACGGGGATGTTGTGAAAAATAATCAGAGCTGCAAAATGGGTGGCGAGGAAATAATGCAATCAGTGGAGGTGAAAAGGATGCGAGAAAGTGGGCAAGAGGAAGAGGAGAAAAACAATAATGTTGGTGTCGGAATTGTTAATCCAAAAGTGAGCAGTGTGCATATATCTAAAGTGGATGAGTACCAAACACTTGCGGATTTGACTAATTTCCCAAACCTTTCTTCAACGTTGGCCTTTAAGGCCACCCGGAGGAAGAATAGAAAGAAGAAGAAAAATAAGAACAGAAAAATCGAGATCGGAGTGCAAAATGATACGGTATGTTGTACAACTATTCTATTATGTTGTGCAAATACCATTTTCTGTGCTGGGTCTTATTTTTGTACATTGTTTCAACTGGGAAAAATATTGTTTGGGAATATCATAAGATTCACTTTTCTATCAGATGTTTACTTCAATGAAAAACTAAATTTTAATGATACAGTTATACTAAAGATATGCTGGAATTCACACTTCCTTCAACAAATGAACGCAAATAAGATAAAGGAAAACAATTTTTATTTTGATTTCTACTTCTTCTTTCTTGTCAATTAAATAAATATGTCTGACAGGCACTTCTAGAATGAAAATAATTTGGTCATTTTCTTTATTTTGTTGTGACATGTGATTATAAGAGAAAGTTTGACATCCAAGCATGACTAGTACTAGAGATTGAAAGGGAAATAACAGAGTGCATTCGAGAAATGACTACAATGAGATTAGCGTGGATGTTATGGTTAATTTATTGAATGCTTTGATAGGAACAACACCATCAGAAACCTGGGCAAATGCAAGTTACTGAGGGAGCAAATCTTCAACAACTTGTGATTCTATCAGACGATAGTGATTTTGAAGTTACAAAAAAAATTGATAGCTGCAAAATGGACAACAAGGAAACAATGCAATCAATAGAGGCGGAAAGGATACGAGAAAACAGCAAAGAAGAAGAGGAGAGAAGAAATAATGTTGGTGTTGGAATTGGTAATGACAAAGTGCGCAATGGTCATATATCTAAAATGGAGGAGTACCAAATGCTTGCTGATTTGACTAATTTCCCAAACCTTGCTTCAATGTTGGCCTTCGAGGCCACCTGGAGGAAGAATAGAAAGAAGAAGAAGAAAAATAAGAAGAGAAAGCTCAAGATCAGAGCTCAAAATGATAAGGTATGTCACACAACTATTCTGTTTTGTTGTGCAAATACCCATTTGTGTGCTTGGTCTTGCTTCTTTGCATTGTTTCAACTTGGAAAAATATTAGTTGGGAAGCTGTTTGCTTTGCTGAAAAATTAAGTTTTAAGAATTCAATGATAAAGTAATTATTCTGTGTTGATTTGAGGAAAATAAAGTTATGCTCGAGTCCACACTTCCCTTTGACAAGTGAACACACATAATATAAAGGAAAACCATTTTTATTTTCCTTTCTTGACAATTAAACGAATTTCTTACACATCCTCTCTAATGGAAGCAATTTAGCCGTTTCCTTTAAGTTTATGTGAGATAGTATTATAAGAGAAAGTTGATATCCAAAGATAACTAGTACTAGAGTTTGAGTGAGATATAATAGAGTGCATCCAAGAAAAGAATACAATGAGATTAGGAACACATAGGCTGGAACGTTACACATGGTCTGGTGTATTATACTAGACTACATGTGATGTATATATATGATTGTGTGGATTGAATTGATATAATAAAAAGTATTCATTTGTTGATTTGCTTTTGCTTTAAGTTTATTACTAACAGGAATTAAGGCTCCAAAAAATATTGATATGCTCCAGATGACGAAAATTTATTTTGTTGCTTCTTGGAAATAAACTAAAGTTATAATGATTCTTTTCCAATTTTTTGAATTTTGTTTTCTCAAACTACTTTTGCTTAGATTTGGTTCAGTTTTTCTATTTTAACTCCAATATATTATTTATTGTTCCTTTATGCTCAACTCTCCTTAGTTGATTTGAAAGTTGTGTCTACTTTTTGGTTGGGATTATATAGAAGGAAAAAAAATATGAAGAAAAAGAATGAGCTTGTTTTCTACCACAATATATTAGTTTTGGGTTCACTACTTGTAGGAGGATAATCCCTTCACTTATCCTGCATCTATATCTCTTGAATTTTATTCTGGCTCTAGGTTTATTTGTACAATGACTTGTATTTGTTATGGTTCTCCATGATTTGGTGATTGTAGCTGATTTTGTGGACGTGATTTTCCACATGATTTGCTATCTTGGGGGTCTCTTCATGCTTGATTGTTATTGACGAGATAACTTCTTCACGGTTCAAGTTATATAAAACCAATTGTTAGATCTTTACATTTCATTTGATGTTGAGGCCTTTATTTTGAGTACCGAATGATCTTTCTTCCATTCATTAATCAGCAAACAAAGATGACAGTCATCAAATGGGGACACGAAGATCATTGCTCCCATTAGGTTGATATCAAATACAAAGAAGAAAATTCTTATTAAAGAGGATTCACCTAATCCATACTTCTTCTATTCATAAAAGATGTATATAATTGTATACTTATATTTGTGGTGCTTGGGCATAGTATGGATCTTATGGTTAATTTATTGAATGTTCTGATAGGAGCAACACCATCAAAAACCTGAGCAAGTGGCGACAATTGAGGCACCAAATCTTCAAGAACTTGTGACTCTACCAGACACTAATGAGAATAGGGGCATTAAAAATGGTCAGAGCTGTGAAATAAATCGCGAGGACACAACAGAACTGAGAGAGGAGAAGAAGCAAAACAACAACAAAAACGAAGAAGAGCTGAAAGGTGATAATGCTGGTGTTCAATCTGCAGATCACAAAGTGAGTAATGGACATGTATCAAAAGCAGATGAGTACAAAATGCTCATGGATTTAACTGATTTCCCAAACCTTGCTGCATTGTTGGCCTTTGAGGCCACTCAGAGAAATAATGGAACGAAGAAGAAGAAGAATAAGAAGAGAAAAATCGAGTTGAAAGTGCCAAACAATATGGTATGTCATATTCATACATCTATTATGTTGTATTATAACCAAAAACCTATTTGTGTTTCTCTTCTTTATATAGTTTTGACTTGGCAATATGTTAAGCAAATACCCACTTGGCAATATGAGAGGAATCTATTATGTTAAGCAAATACCCAGGTTTGTTTCATAACTGTTTTGTTGCGGAACAATTTTAGTTTCTCTTCTTAAATCGTTTTAATGTGCCAATATACAAAAAGAGAAGAAAAGTATTTATTTCTAAATATAATCGGCACAAGAGATCAAATTGGAACTAAGTAGATGATAAGAAATACTATGAGGTGAGGAACATGCACATGGTGCTCACATCTAGTTCACATGAAAGGTAACTGAAAAATAATTGACTAGGGGATATAAAGGAATGTTTAGGGAAAAGAATATGACGAGATCATGAACAAATCTGTTGGTGCTTCCTTCTCTCCTATATGTAAGTCATATATATTTATGTATATAATAAAATAAATGTGCACTTGATTTGTTTCACTACATGTTTTAGCATTAAGATTTTAATAAAATAAAGGAAACGTTTTCATGTTTATTTTTCTAATTTTCAAATATTATTTTTCTAAAATTGCTTTTGTTTAGATTTGCTTATAATTTCACTGTTTTAGGTCCATATTACTCATTGTGATTTTAATCCCAATGTTTCTTAGCTTTAAAATCAAGGTTTAAAAGTTTTTTTCCATGTTCTTTGTTGAATTATTCAAGGAAAAAAAAAGAAGAAAAAAACTGAAATTACTGGCTATTCCATAGTGTCAATTTTTTATTTATTTATTTTTCTTTCTTCTATTTAGTATGTGTGTGTGAATGGTTTTTAGTTATTATACAGTGTATCTATTCTAACTTTTTATTATCTACCAGAGGGAAAATACTCCTGATGCACATGTTTCTTTTCATATTATATTTTCTTTATTCCATCAGTTGTTTTGTATCATCTTACCTATGATAATTTTGCTGGCAGAATTTCTCATATCAAAAAATAAAATAAAATTTGTTTGCTGGACTTAAAATAACAGTTTGAAAGATATTATTGAGCAAAGAATGTATGTTCTTAATGTAATAGAATAGAGTCTATCTATCTATATGTTTAATAATATTAGGCTTCCTCTATTTTGGGCCTCATTTAGGAATTGGCTTTTTTAGTGATTTTTTGTCTATTTTATGAGGTGAAAAAAATTTAATGTGTTTGGGCATGACTTTTTTTAGTTGTATAAAAAACTGTGAATTACTCAGATGTTTGACTTTGTTTTTTTAGGCGTCCAGATCCTCTAGAGTGAATCCCTCTGGAGTGCTTGTGGAGTGAACCAAAATGATGTCGTTTTGGTTAATGTAAAAAAGAGAGAGAGAGAGAGAGAGAAGACGGACAGACGTTTCGCTGGAGAGCTGCCGGAATCTCGCCCCTCTCCACCTCTCTTTTTCTCCCTCCTTTCCTTCGCCCTCCGCCCCCTTCTCTCCTCCTCTTCTCTTCTTCTTTTTCCAAAGCCCTAACCCTAGTTTTGAAAACTCAGATCACGAACCCAGCATTTTGAGGGAAGAAAGAGGAGGATAACTCCGGCGGCTCTTCAGCAAAACGTCGTCGTTTTGATTCACTCCACAAGCAATCCAGAGGGATTCAGTCTAGAGGATCCGGACGCTTTTTGTAGTGGTTTTTTTTGCCTATTTTAACCAAAAAGAAAAGTTTCCAAATGGGGCCTTGGTATCTTTAGGTTCTTTATCACTAATAAAATTTATTGCTCAAATATTTTAAATAGTATTTCTCATAAATGGAGAAAACATAAAAAAGTAAAAAATAAAGAAAAAACTCTGGAATCATTGAATGCAGAGAGATATGGCATGTTTGTTGTCTCTATTATCTATTTTGATTTGATTGATGGAATATTAATTTGGTCCAATTGGTATGTTTGTCTCTAATTGTGTGACCTTTTGCAACATAGAAAGAAGGAAAGGAATTCTTGATAAGTAACTAAAAAGGGGAATTATAGAGTGTTTGAATGCAAGTATAGAGCCCAAAATTCAAAGAAGGAAAAAGAGAAGAAGAATGCTCATTCATTGCCTTGATCCCTAACAAAGGAGTTGCAGAAAACGCTAGAGATTTCAGACCTATCAACTTGCTTGGTGGGGCGCATAAAATTTTGCTTGAAGTCCTTGCATCTTGTCTTAAATTTGTGTTGCCTTTGGTGGTGTCGGACTCTCATAACGCTTTTGTGAGGGACAAACAGATTTTAGACGCAGTTTTAGTGGCTAATGGCGCGGAGGATTCTAGATCAAGGAGTCAACGGCCTAGGCTTATTTGTAAATTGTTTATTGAGAAGGTGTATGATCATGTAAACCAGGACTTCTTGCTATACTATAGGGAGTGAATGGTGTTTGGGCAGAAATGGAGGAATTGGGTGAGATTCTACATTTCTTCTTTTAGACTTTTGGTCTTGGTGAATGGCTCTCCAGGTGGTTTCTTTCAGCCATTGAGGAGTCTGAGACAAGGGAATTCTGTCTCCTTTGCTGTTTATTGTGGTCATGGAGATTTTGAGGAAGATGGTGTATAAGGTGGTTCTCGGTGGCTTTCTTGAAGGACAAAGGTTGGTCAATAGGATGGTTCCTTGTTTGTGGTGTCACACCTCTATCCTAATGTTACTATTATTTTCTGTGGAGTTGAAGCTCTTCAGCTGGGTTTACTCCATTGTGTTTTGCTCTGTTTCGAGGCAGTGTCAGGCTGTCAGGTTTGAAAATTATTCGGAGAGTCAAGTCTTATTCCGGTTTTGGAGGTTTAAAGGTTGAATATCTTCCTTGTCCTTATTTGGGACCCCCTTGTTACATGGTCTTGGGTAGAACTCACCCAAAAGTTAGCTATTAAGTTGAGGGTGCCCTCATGCTTATATGCTTAATATTGCTTTAGTATAAAGGCGATGTGGGACTTCGCTTCACAGACCTTTGGGATCGGTTTTTAATGGCAGAGAGGTTTCAGAGATTGTTGGCAGGGTAGAAGAGGTAGAATCTATCCAAAAGTGCCATGTTGACTTTGATTTGGAGTACCTTCTCTAGTCTTTCCACATTTTATGTCCTTATTCAGCATTCCGGCCTCGGTTGTTAAGAGGTGGAGAAGTTGCAGCTGGACTTCCTATGGGAATGGGTCATGGAGGTGTTCAAGTACCATTTGGTGGACAGGGATAAGGTTTGCAGACCAATGAGACAAGGGGCTTGGGTGTTCAAAAGCTGACTATCTTCAACCAAGCTTTGCCTGTTATCTTCATTACTTGGGCAAATGGTTGTAGAGGATTGCTTGTAAAAGTGAGACATATTGGAGGGTGGTGAAGTGCAACTATAGTTGGGTTTGTGGAAGGGTATCAGGAGGAGGGGGTGGGAATCCTTTTCAAGTTATTTTCAGTTTGTGGAATGGTCATTGCTGGCTTAGCCTCTGCAACCCACTCATAAATTGATTGGGGTTGGGTGACCATTTGGACTTAGCAGGTCTTCTTGAGATCCAAGAAGAAAGATCGAGTTCAGAGATAGAGAAAAAGCATAACTGGCTGTTTTACTAGAATGTTTAATCGAAAAGAGTACCCTTCATTCTAAGGAGTAGATTTGGCCCACTAGTCATTAAAAGGTGGTTACCAAGTATGGTATTGATAAATTGGGCGTTTCCAATTGCCTATTCGTTAGATAACAAAATTGATTTCTCCTTTTCTGGTAAACAGAGAGAGAGAGAGAGAGAGCTTTTTATATTATTTTTATTTTCAGGTACAAATTCCTTTGAGAGAGAGAGAGAGCTTCCTTTTATATTATTTTTATTTTCAGGTACAAATTCCTTTGGATTGTTTATCAAATGTTTTTGTTCAGATATTTTGAGAAAATTGAGCATGGTGCGAATTACTATTACCGATTCTGTTTTTGCATCTCTGTAGGCTGATGTTGCAAAGGAAGAAACACATACAAACACTTGTAAAGCTATTGAAACTACTAAAGCATTCAAGGTTGATGACAATCCAAGTTCTTTTGTGATTGCCGATCTCTATTTATCAAACTCACAAGAGGATACTGTAAGTTGATTGATGTTTTTGTTTGATTGTTTCTACCTTCCTTTGTGTCCTATGTTGCCATACTGTTCAAATATTTGAAGCAATTGAGCTTATTATTTGTCAAATGAACGCTCTTGCATTCTTTTGCCACAGGTTAATGCTGTGGAGGAAGACAAGCAGGCAGACTCAAGCAGAGAAATTATACCTTATCTACCAAAACCAGTCAAAAGCATGGATGAGATTGTGCCAAGAAAGCTTCTTGTGAGTAGAGATATAATGGGTTAAAAGTACAAATTTACGAAGTTATTAATTATGACAAGCGTGGTTAATTCTTCCATTTTTCAATATCAATTATTGTACAGTGTCGCCCCAGATATTTTAATCACCCTGAAAGCAGTAGGGTGATGGCTACACCTGTTACTCGTAAGATGCAAAAGAAGAAGAAACCCTGCTTTATTTGTGGGGGTCTCAATCACAATGTGACACATTGCAAACAGGTTTTATACTATTTTAATTTGCAAAATTATTCTATGTTATCAGAGTTTTGACTTGTGTTGTCGGGACTTGACTTATCATCTGCATTTTTTGACTAGAAGATTGTTTCTTTTTGGTTTTCTGTTTCTTTTATTTAAGTGTACAGAGTAGTTGGATACTTAGTTGTCATATAAAGAGCGTCCTAGTAAACACGCTATTTATACCAAATCAATTGATTCCTAGTTCACTCAAGAACTTCATTGAATCTATTTAGCCATCCCATGCCACATGAATGAAACATACATCAACTGGCAGTGTGTGGTACAGTTTGACAGATGTAATCACTTCACATTGTCTCTCTTATAAAACTTCCCAAGTAAAACTGGATTGTTTGGTAATTTGTTGGCCAAAAGGTTGGTGCTGTGATATACAGCATACTTCACAGATATTTGGTGTCGAATGCAGTTTTATATATATATATATATATATTTTACAGGTAATTGATTGCTCTGTCTGCTCTGGAAGAGGTCACCTTGCCAATGATTGTCCGGAGAAATATGCAATAAAGGATGAGAGTTCCAAATTTTGTTTAAGATGTGGGGACTCTGGGCATGATTTGTTTTCATGTAGCAGCGATTATTCCTATGATGATCTCAAGGTACTTAATTCAATATTGTTTTTCTTTCATGATCTCAGAAGTTCATAAAAATTGGTAGGAAAGTGATGGCTGTTTCCATTTGGACAGGAAATACGATGTTTTGTTTGCAAAGCTTTTGGCCATCTTTGTTGCGTTGACTACGTGGTTAAGGACCAAGGCAAGTTTCTGTTATGAGTATGGGTAGTCTTATCATTTAGGTTTTGTTAGGAGTGTTATTATTAGCACTCCATCAATTATTTTTAACCTTTACTTACAAATTTTAAAACTCTTAGACTTTCTTTTCTCCTCCCAAATAATATCAAAATTATCCTTATGAAAACATTCCACCCATTCAATTGAATACACCCCCACACCCCAAAAAACCTCTCTCCCAAAAACTGTAACAAAACTCACGGTGGTGATTACTACTTAATCTCTATATATTTGTTCATGACCTTACAGTGAGTAAGAAATTGGGTTGGGATTTTTGGGCTTGAGAAAGAAGAAGAGTCAGTGTGATTACTGTCAATTGCCTTGACAAGACTAGCTTAGGTTGTGATCTTTGCCGCCTCATCCTTTTCTTCAGTTTGACCATTGTCAGAGTTGGTTATCTATTCCCGAATGAACAAGAAATGTTCGGTTACCTGTTCCCAAACAAATAAACAATATTCGGGCCTGTGTTCCCGAATTTTGATTATATGTTTGGGAGTTCAATTCCGAAAAAATGACAAACAATTTTTATTATTATTTTTTTTTTCTAGAAACTTACCCTTACAAGGCCAATCTCCACTGAGTTAAGAACACCATCAAAGTTATGAACCTCTTCTAAACTTTTATTGTTGTATTCCTCTCGTTTCATGGAGTTGTGGTTGCTGGGAAAACTTCCACTCATTGTCATTGCCCGAGAAGTGTAAGTAATCAAATGGTTACCACGGTTACCGTCAGAATATTGCTATCAAAGGATTTTCAAAGTTTTGAGGGTGGGTAGATTTTGAAAGTGGCATTTGAAAAAGATGGATGGGTGGTGATGGTGGTGGGTGCTTTCATAAATTCTAGTTCATGTAGTTGATGTGTAGGCTTAATTGTGAGATAGGATGTCCCAAAATTATTGATATCCTTTTTAGTAATTTTATTTGAGGTTATTATTGTAATAAAAAAAGCTAAAAAATGAAGGGTCTAAAATAATTGATAGGGTGCTAATAGCAGTACTTTTTGTTAGTCATTTGTTCTTTTGCTATATGATGGTGTGTTACAACACAATTACTTTTACGACAATGCTACGTAGCTCAAATTTTGTGGCTCAAAAGTGGCTCAAATGGCCAAAACGACGTCGTTTTGAGTACAGAACAACGTAAAAATGGCCAAAATGACGTCGTTTTGACCATTTGAGCCACTTTTGAGCCACAAAATTTGAGCTACGAAACATTTTCCTTACTCTTAACAGAGTGACGTCACTGTCCTTGTGGAGTTCCTGTACATGAAGGAATGCACAAAAAACCTAAATGACAATATGTTTGAATTCAAAAAACTTACATGAAGGAATGCTTTTAGTTACCACTGACTGGCTGTTAGGAGCCAAGCCATTATTATTGAAAAAATAAAAATACTTGATAAATCATTTATTTCATGTCAATATGTTTGAATTCAAATAGGTTTAGTTAGATTTAAATGCTGATAGCTATTGCCTTCCGAGTGTATTTTCATCCTTTGCTGATCGTTTGCAGGTTGCAGAATGGGTGACTCCGAAATTTCCCAACCTTAAGACGGTTCAATAAAGATCATTAAAAAATAAATAATAATAAAAAAAATGTGATCCAGTACAAGGAAAGGGTGAGTAAAACTGGGTACCAAGGAAGTTTTTGGCTGATTTTCTGGTCCTATATATCCTCAAGGAAGTTTCAACCATCAAAGTGGAACTCCGAGTTGACAAATTTTTAGCAGTCAAATGGTGTCGACACGAAGGTTTGGCGGCCCTTGCATGGGAGAATAAATTAATAAGGGTCGTTCACTTCCGAACTCTATTGAAAAAGAGAATGTTCTCTTCAGTGAGTTCAACCTGTTGTAACCTTGTAAATATGCACTCTTTTGCAAGTTAATTTGACATTATCTCAGATGTTGAATTGGTTGGTAGTTATATATATATATATATATTTTGTCTATTTAGGCCTGTGATGTTCTAGGTTAGTTTTAGTGGCTCGTTATAGGTTCTTTCAATGTACTCTAGTTTGTATCTCTTTCTTTGCATCTTTATGTATCTTGTATTTTTTGTTTTCTTCTTCCTAATGAATGAATGTACTCTAGGAGATCATTTTTCTTTTAATTGGTCTTTTGAATCTTCAATCTAGTATTATTTATCTTTTGTTGCTGGCAGGGAAGGGAGATCAAATGTTTGAGCAATAAGAACTGTTTGAAGGAAGACTAATTTTTGATTACTTAGAAGAAAAAGGTGTTACAAAATGAATTACAAATCATTGGGTGATTTCTCTACTCGTCCCTCTTCTATATTTATTACAGAAATCTCTAATTTGTTATTACCACCTAACTACTACTAACAATCCACCATTACAATTCTAACAAATCATGAAAAATGACAAATCTATTTAACTAACTTCAACTTAGCCAAGGATATTCAATGACTCAGCTCAACTCAATAACAACTCGGCTCAACAATGACTCGGCTCATCTTCAAACCTATTTCTTCAGCTCTGCCTAGGAGTGTGATATGAGTGATGTGAGCCACCAGAGAACCTACGTACCGAACCTTTCTTTGACTAGAGAGGTGAGAGTTGAATTGGAAATTTTCTCACTGGTAAAGAAATGCTCTTCAAACCATTGCAAAGTTTAGAAACCTGACAAATTCTCATTTTAAAACTAAAATTAAAATTTAAAGTTTAAAAAGAAAAGAAAGAATTGAAAAAAGAGTACATTGTAGACAGACACTACCCAAGAATTACAAGGTTTAGAAACATAACAAATTCTCATTTTCATTAATGCAATAAGCACAAACAAACTCACTCATACCATCTCAAATTTTGCCAATGGAAAGTTGGAATTTTTTTTTAAACAAGTAATATTACAAAAAAAAGTTAGTAATGAAATATTTCAGACTTAGGGACCCCAAGGCAACTCTACTGGTCCGGCTCCCACCCTCCTAATCTCATCCCAGGGTCATAGTTTGTGAACAGACGAAACTCATTGCCAAGTTTGCTAGAGTGCTGAGGCCGAAAACCACATGGATGCAAACCGAGGAGCTCTGCTGCTCTATCTTTTTGCACTTCCCCTAAGCATGAAAATGATAAAATCTATTACCCATGTTGTATTGTATAAAAGGTTATTAAGAAGAATAGTTCAATACAATAGTGCAATGATATATCAAAACAGCATTTGTTTTTATTATATAGTTTCAACCTATTACATCTCATTGTCAATATCACTAGATAATGTATTAGGTTTGCTGATGGCTAAAACCACATGATAAAAGCAAGTGCTTACAGGAAAAGACAGAAAAAGAACAGAAAAAAAAAAAAAAAGCATACCTGTGAGTAAAAGCAAGTAAACGTTTCCTGGTTGCACAAGAAAAGAAATTGTTTGAGTAACCTTCTCCAAGCATTCTTTGCTCTGCCACCAAAAAATGTCAATTCCATAAGATCATGTTAAGAAAACAATATACCCTTTCAAGATGTGCATGATTAGCCAAGACAAATCAGCAAAAGCTTCCTATTTATAAGATGGTATTATACACAACTTTTCCTCGAGTGAATCAGGTGACCCCTTAAAGCCAAAACATAAGTGTGGAAAAAAACATCAAGTTTTAAGTCAAGTGGCAGACTACATACAAATATAGACATGAAAACATAGCGAGAGAGAATTACAGGTAAATAATCAAGTTTTTACTATTAAACAATTTGATATACATGGTGCTGAGAACCACAGGTTCATGCATCAAATAAATTTCCTATCCCAATTAAAGAGGGGCATGGAAGATAAAAAGAAACGTCGGGCTTGGAGAAGATCGATATATTTATAGGTATTAATAATTAAAAGATTATTGGCAAAGGGTTGACTGTGAAGTCTCTCCATCTCTCTACAAACGCATGTACACAAAGTGTTAACACTATAATAAAGATATATTTTTGGGCTGTTATCAATTGATGAATGCTATAAACCATAAGAAGAACTAGGAATCTCATACGAGAGAGAGAGAGAGAGAGAGAGAGAGCATTAATTTGCTACTTGAATGCTTTTGCCTACGAATAATTATTAAAAGGGGCAGAAGGAAATAAAGAAACATTACTATAAGAGTGAATGAAGAGTTTCTTTCCCAACTTATTTCCGATGAAAGGAGTGGCCCTCAACATAAGCTTGACCAATGGGAAAAAAACCCACGAGAAGAGGCAAATTCGAGAAAAAATACCAGCAATACAAACTAAGCACTTACCAGGTAAGGAGGATCTGCAACAATGATCTGATATGCATTCTTCAAGGATGATGGAAGCTGTTCTGGTTGATTGTAATCATAGAATGTGAACTCACCTCCATATTGCTCAAAACGTTTGTCATACTCGAGAAGTTTGAGAGATACATTAGGATCAATTTTCTGAAATTCACATAAGAAGCAAAACCGTTAAGTTTCCAGTTATCACAAAGCAATATGTGGATGCAGATGCAATGGAAAATAAAAAACACAAGAGACTGGGTTAACAGTTGAGATGGGTCAATGACTCCATGTATCAGAAGGATCTCCATCCTATGTACGCACGCCTCATTGGTCACTTTGAAAAGTGTAAGTAAAATATGCCTTCTCTATGACAATAACATATACATCATTAGTAGATGTGTTTGACATTTTTAGGCTAGGAAGCTATATATCTTCTTACAAAAAATGGACAATACCTTAATCACATTTGTTTTGGTTCTATGGAAACTAGTTTGCCATTGGTTCTCCTACCCCTAATCCACATCAAACTAAGGACGCAAAAAATGTCACACATCCATACGTGAGCAACATGGGAAGTCAAAATTCTGACCTCCATGACATGAGCCTTAAAAGTTGAAACCAATAACTGTGGTGGAGCCTTCTTATAAAGGAAGCTCTAACCTGATTTTGAACTATATGGTCTATGCCACAATAATGTACATTTGCTTTCAAAGAGCAAACCGTATTTTGTCAACAGGCATATTCAAGATCATGGCCATAGCCATAGTCATATTGTATAATATCGTATCCCATAAAGAGACTAGAGAAAGAGTTAACACAAAGTTGGAGATTTGGAGAAAAGCACTTGAATCTAAAGGATTCCGAATAAGCAGAACTAAGATAGAGTACATAGAGTGTAAATTTAATAACAGTAACAATAAAAGCAGAGGATAAGTGAGAATTGAGAACCAAGAACTGTCTAAGAGTGATCATTTTCGTTATTTAAGGTCGATTATCACAACGGCGACGGAGATTGATACGGATGTGGCCCATAGGATTAAAGACAAATGGCTTAAGTGGAGAAGTGCGTCAGGGATACTGTGCGATAAACGAATACCCATTAGACTAAAAAGTAAGTTCTATAGAATGACTATTAGACTAGCGATGTTGTATGGGACGGAGTGTTGGGCAACCAAGAAATAACATGTAGATAAGGTGAGTGTTGTTGAGATGAGAATGCTAAGGTGGATGTATGACAAAACTAGACAAGACAGAATTAAAAATGAGTGTATTCGGGAATGGGTAGGAGTAGCACCGATAGAAGATAAGTTGAGAGAGAATCGATTAAGATGATTTGGTCATATTCAACGGAGACCAATAGAGACAGCAATGAAGAGATGAAATACAGTGACGGTAGATGGAATGGAAGTTTTAGGGGACCGGGTAGGCCTAGATTAACGTTGGCTAGCGTTGTAAATAGAGATATGGATCTACTTAATTTAACTAACAAAATGGCTTTTGATAGAGCCGCGTGGAGAAGAAGGATTCATGTAACCGATCCAATTTGATGGGATTTAAGGCTTGGTTTGCACTCCCCATTTCAAAATTAGACTAACCCCATTTCTCCAAATACAAAAGATTTGATACCCAACCGACCTCACCCAAAAAGCAATTTATTTGTATTGCCACCAAAATCAACTTTATTAGATTAACCAACCTTGGCACATCAAAGCTGAAAACAATAACAGTATTTCATTTGGAAATTATTTTCTCTTCCATCAAGTGGTTCTTATCAAGGTTCTCAATCGGAAATGTTATTCCATAAGCCAATTTCCTTCACACCAAGCAATCACTCCACACAATCATAAATGCATTCCCAATCCTTGAATCAAATCTATATCAAATTTAAATTTGGGTAAAAATTACTCCAAATACCCTCCACTCCTTGACCCAAACATATACCAAATTGAGTTTTGCTCAAAGTTTTACCCAAATCAAGGGAGACTCAAATGCTTACCCAAAATTTCAAGGCTATTTAGTGGTTCTCATCACTCTGGCATGGGAAATGCTATACACACCATATGCACCCCACCACAAAATTTTAACTTTCCAACAAAATTTCATAACATCAACCACAAAATGTGTAAAAAATGTGTAACCAAGTCACAATCTTTTGCAATATCAAGCACAAAATTTCAATATTTGTTACGCCAATTTGTGCTATGAAATTTTGTGGCAAAGTTACACATTAAGAATGTGGTAGGGAAGGGTGCATATGGTCATAGGATTTCCCCCTCTGGCATTAGTGAATCTTTTACTAAAATTTACGCTTAAATCATTGGAATCGTTCCTATCAAATAAAGGCTAGAGATGGCTCAAGACAATAATAGTAGAAATCTGAAAATACATTGATAAAGAAAGTGATACATTAAACACAAATCCATAATGATAGATACAGAACAGAAATATGTATATATATATAGAGAGAGAGAGAGAGAGAGACCTTGAGATAGGCGTAGAGAGTAGGGCAAGCGATACAAGCTACAGAAGGAGATTGGAGGGAGTCGCAGAGGGAGAGAACTTCTTTGGCAACGGTCTCGGCGGTGTGGCGATCGTACCAGAACTGGCTCAGCCTCCAGTCCTCCGCCAACAACGCCACCTCCTCCTCCTCCTCTCCATTACGATTTTGATCGGAGAGGAAGTCTTTGAGCGCTTCCAGAGCTTCAGCGCTCAGCATCGGTGGACCATCCTCGTCTTCGGGAACTGAGTGTGTATGTGTTCGCTCCTCTCTCACTTCCTCCATTTTCTTCACTTCAATAGGCCCTCATGTTTGGTAAACGCTTAAATAGTTTTTAATCAAAAACCTAAGGCCTCGTTTGGAAATATGCATTTTTTTAGTAATTTTTTAATTTTTTAGTTAAAATATGATGTAAAATAAATTAACATGTTTGAGATAATTTTTTAACTTTTTACGAAAAAATATGTAAAAAATAAAGAGAAGATGAAAATTTTAACTTTTTGATATGAATTATTGATTTTTTAATTTTTTTAATAATTTTTTAATTTTTTAATTAAAAAGAATATTTGTCAAACGAGGCCTTGTCAAAGGACGCCGCAACTAGTAGAAGCATCACTTTTTTCACTACTTTTTAGGTCGCACCAAATAAATAATTTGATACGCGCACTCAAATTAAAATAAGGGCAAGTTATCTACTCAATTTTTGAGATTTAGTTAGATTATAATTTTTTTTTAAAAATTTTAAAAATTACATATCCTCATTCTAAGTTTATATTCATATAACAATTTAATTTTTACTGTTAAATAAATATTAAGAATGGTTAATTGATATTACCAAAATATAAATTGATAAATATTACTTTTGCTCAAAATCTCTTTGATAAATCAACAAAATTTACAAAAAAATTATGTTAGATGAAAAAAATATTAAGTTTTTGAAACCATATTTGATTTGTTATTTAGAAAAAAATTTCAGAATTTGTTAAAAAAATAAAAACTGATTTAATAAAAATAATTATGAAAAACTATATTTAATTTATAAAAATTATTTCTAACCACTCAAAGGATAAAATTATATAAAAATAAAAATAATTTTTTATTTGTTATTTTTTATTGCTTAACCAGATTAATTTCTAATTTTTTTAAAAAAATTTAAAAATAAATTCTAAAAAATCAAACCAAACATATTCTAAGTATTTTTTGACAAGCTATTTATTGTGTTTTTAACTTATTTGTTAATTTTATTGTATTTTCACTATCCGACACTTCAACATACAAGAGTTTTAGAGACTAATTTTTTTTATCTCCAAAAGTGAAAATTTTGTTACAAAAGATATTTAGGGACTAATTTCTATCATCGTGAGGATAGTGGCTAAAAAGTCGTCCTGAAAAGTCAAATAAGGCTTTTAGCGATAAAATTTCGAAAATGTCAATAATAAATAGACTTTTAAGGATAAAATAATATGGTCTCAAAATGATTTATTTTTTTAATCAAAAAATTTGATACCAAAAAGATAATAATTAATCACTAATGTTCAATTTTCGTTACTACTAAAAATATAATAACATTTTTTTGCAACAAAAATATTTGGTCCCCTAAAAATAATTTTGTCTTTAAAACTTTAATTTTTTGTAGTGTGATACGTGTTTTCCATTTTAATTTTGCATTTCATAACTTATTTAAAAATGACAATTTAGCTAAACCTCAGGGGGAATCTATAATTCTCAGGAGAATTTGTAATTCAGTTAAACCTCAAGGGGGTGAAGGTAATTTGTCCTTATTTGTCAAGAGGACATTTTAGTCAATTTATAATATCTGTTAGGGTGATTTTACTTACACCATTACTCTACCTTTTTACACTCTCCATCTCATTACATTACTTAAAAAAAAAAAACTCTTATTACACCCTTCATTATATTACCAATACTAACCCTAAATTAACCCTTTCATCTGATTTACGCCACATAACTTTTGGAGGGAAAAGAAAGAAGTAGCATCAAGAAAGACTAGGGGTCCAACACAGAGAAGGCAAGTGGTTTGGACGATGGAAGGAGTTCAAACGACGTTATGGTCTGTGTTACCGATGTGGACGATTGAACTCATTCTTCTCATTCGTCAAAGGTAAGTGAAAAACTCTTCTTTCTCTTTCTGAAACTAGAAACATATCTAATTTCCTCCAATAAGGATTTACGCACGAGAGGGGAATCAGTCGACCTTGTTAAAAATACTCAGCTATTTCATGTGCACATGGCAACTTAAGCGTACGTCGCAAAATGCAGCCATATGCAGCAACATCTATTTCCTCACTATTCGATCTCTTTGACTCTACCAATATTTTGTCCAAACTACAAATTGAAATAAAACCACGTAACTTAGTGAACTCAGTAGGTGTGTAGTTGTGTTGGACTACAATCAAACTCTGCTGAAATAAGACTTTAATGTTGCATGCTGCAACTCTAACAAATTGTGTATTTTGGTCCAAGATGTCTCAAAACTGCCTTGACTTGATCCAAGTTGCCTCTTCAATTTAGCATGAGAACTCTCCACCCTACAAGTATGTATATTTTGATATTTAATATAAAATTCAAAAAATTATAGCAATTCATAAATGTAATGAGCATAATTTACCTGTTTGTAGTAATATTTCCCAAATGTATAGTACTGTTTGTCCAAGCTGCAACAATTTTTTCCTTGTATGGCTCTAACCAATTGGTAGTAACATACCCAATAGTTTCAGCATACGTACTAAATTCGGTTTTGAGATTGGAAAATTGTTCATTAAATTCTGTTTCTGTTCTAACCAATACCAAAGCATTCCAACTATGCATGAACTTATCCCATTTATCTTTCATCTCAAAAACCTTCTTGCACTTCATCAGCACATTCTTGCTAATATGCTATTTACATAAAAGATTAGCGGCCATAGGTAGAACTTTTGAGATGGCTTTTATCAAAGCCAACTCTCTATCTGTAATAATGACTTTTGAAAAAGCAGTATTCTCAATAACAGTACGCAATATGCCTAAAACCCATGTATAGTTGTCTTCCCGTTCATGACCAAGATAAGCAAAAGCAACTGAAAATGTTAAGTCCGTTGATGTTACCCCAATAATCTCTAAGAGAGGGAGTCGATATCTATTAGTCTTATATGTGCAATCCATAATCAACACATGTGGAAATGCACGTAACAACTCCAAACTAATCGGGTGTGCCTAGAACAAGCCAGTCACTATCTCTCTATCATCACATCGATGCCACTCAAAATAATTTTGAATCGACAATTGCCTCAATAGTTGTTGGATCTGTGATCTTTCCACCCTCTGTACTACTCGATGTCGATGACGTACGTTGTAGATTGTCTTCATTGTTGTTGCATTACAGGCATCCTTTCATTTCAATGTAATCAATATCTCTTTTGGTCACACCATACTTTTTGACATGTTAACTAATAAGGATGTTTCCTCCTTAGATAATCTACCAGCAAATGAGTGTCCTTCAAGATGTTCAGCAGACGGATGATTATGCACTCTGCATAAGACATGCAACATCTACTCATCATTTGTAGGTAATTTTTCCTTTCTTAATTGAAATGGACATCCATATTTTTTAGAACCTGTCAACCTCAATTGTTCCCCCTTGATCTTCTTGTTGTCTCTATAGTAACCATTTCTTTCACATGCAAGGGTAAGTCTTGATTTTCCTCCATTACCTTCCACATCTGATGTCTTTGTAATAATGACAAATGCAGTCTTTTTCCCAACGTCAGAGCCCATTTAATTAATGCTTGGCGACTATTAAAAATCTAAACATAATAAATACATTTATATGTCAAATTATTAATAAAACTCAATACAAATTAAAAATAAGAAAAAATCGTATTTATAAAAAAAACTTAACAAATCTCGTCTGTAATGAATTTATGACTGGAGTCCATTAATAATGCAGTACTTGCATTGTTGCAATGAGTATAAGTATAATTCTTCCATTCAAAAAAATATAAAATATAAAAAAATAAAATTGAAAATACATGGTAATGAGTAGCCGAACAAATTTAAAAAATACGACCTTATATTAGCGTAAATGTATCTTCTATTCTGCAGTTAGATACCAAACTTATATTTTTTTATTCGACATTTTGATGCCAGATTATGTTATTTTGTTCGATTTCAAAGCATCGAACAAAAGTCGATGACCAGCCCAGAAAATCGAAACAAAAACCGACTAAACAAATAAAAAAACTCACAATTTCACTTTTTTAATGATTCTTCACCACCGTTTCTTCATTTATTGCTTTCTTTGATGATCAAAACATTTGATTCTCACTTTTTGAAAAGAGATGTGTAAGAGAAAAGAAAAGTTGAGAAAGGAAAAAGAGGAGTAGGGATTGAAGACCAAGGGGTGTAAGAAGATAATAAAATATATTTAATTTTACTGTTTTGTCCTTAAAAGTAATTTTACACATGGATAAAATTAGAAGAAAAAAAATTTCATATGAAGGGTGTAAAGAGGTAAAGTAGTGGTACAAGTAGAATCACCCTATCTGTTAACACCGTTAATTACGATGGGACGGGATGTAATTTTTGAAATTCAGGATTCTGTAATTTGGTTAAATCTCAAGGGAGGTGTAGGTAATTTGTCGTAAAATAAATTATAATTATAATTAATTCATTTAAATTGCAACAAATTAGGCTATGGAGGTTGAATTTGGAGAATCAAAAGCTAATATTTAGAACTTGTATGATAATTGATTTTTAAAACTTTTTATTATTTTTTTATAAAATAACGTACAAAAAACTAAGTTGATTTTTTATATTCACTTTAGTAAATTCTTTTGTTTTAAATTTTAAATTTTTTTATACTTAAGTTTTACTCAATTAGACGAATTAAATTTATTTTTTTAAAAGTTGAAATTTTGTTCAAAAAACCCCTCCCCCCCCCCAAAAAAAGGAGAGGCAAAAACAATTTTGGGATTTTTTTTTGAATTTTTTTTACTTTTTCTACAAATGGTTTTTAATTAAATTATATGAAAATTTTAAGAACTAAATAGATAAAATTTATAATTTAGTGATGAAATAGAAAAAAATGACATTAGATTAGGAAATAAAAATGAAATTAACTCTTAAATTATTAATTTCAGGTAGAAAAATAATTTCCAAATATAATTTATATATATAAAGTGCATCCAAAAGGATAGTGACATACTTGTAATTATAAAGTATACTAGTAAGTAATTTGATTAGAAATGAAAGGATCATAAACAACCATGCCATTCTATATGGAATTTTTGTATGTGATACAAATAAAATTTCTATGAACAATGCAAAGAGATGAAGTTGATCCTAGGAATAACATTAAATTCTTCTTCTATACACCATCTTCAGCTCATTCAACTTTCCCTCATCAAGCTCAACAATGTAACCATAAATGTGGTAAATTCAAGTGTGAGATTTTACCAACCGCAAGTGAATCCCCTTCAAAACTGGTGAAGTGACCGATAATTTCCTAGACTCAAACCTAAGCGCAATCAGCGGGGTTGAGGGATTAGGATACATTCAAAGTTTATAACTTCTTCAGTAGGTTGTAATCTTGTTATGCTTGATTCACCAGGGGCCAATTAGACAATTTCTGGACGGAAACACTCACCACCCCAAAAAAATCTCAATGCCTATGAATCACAAGAACGATACAGACATCAACGCATTCGACTTGGGTCAAATGACTCAAACCTACTTTTACTGTTGAAAATTGATAAGAACACTCGAGAGGGTATTGTACCTAGAAAACTTGTGAATATAGCTAAACCTCAAACACCCACACACACAGACATGCAAAAATATATACAAAAATGTTTAAGAGAACAAAAAGTGCTTTGCATGTCTGATGAACAAAACTCCATTACTAACAGTATGACTTGTCCCAACAACACATTGAAGTTCGGAAGATTTAGCAATTTCCAAGTATTTTTTTGCAACAATTCTATTTCAGCTCTGTAATCCCATATATTTCTCCATCTGCAACCCAAGCATCCATTTGCTTCTCCTCCGAAATTTTTGTTGTTTCTCCAGCCCCAGCCAAAGCATCCTCTTCCATTAAACTAAGAGCTTGCGAAAATGATTTTGCATTTTTCATATAATTTAACAATTTTTCATGAATATCAGCTGAGACAACACCCTTGGCCAGAAGTAACCTTAAAAATTCCACCACTTCCTCAACATCGCCCTTCTCTTTCAAGTACTCCAGACAAGCAGCTAAAGTGGGCTTGCTTACCTTCAGTCGTGGCTCACAAGTTGAGACCGCTACCTTCATTGCTTCGACTGCCTTTGCAATTTGATTATCTTTAACATATCCTGTAGCCAAGAAGTACCATGTAAGTGGGAGCGGATTGCCCCCTCTCATTTTTGCCCTATTTATAAAAGCTTCAGCCTTCTCCACAAGACCCTTTCTGCAATATGCACCAATCAAAAAGTTTGGAACCCGGAAATCGTAACTCAATTCACTGGATTCCCACTCCTCAAAGATCTTCTCAGCACCTGCTATGTCATCGAACTTCAATAGTGAGGTTATCATGCTTATATAGCTCTTGTTGTATATCTTTTCTGTCTTCTTGTGGAGTTCCCAAAGTCGTAACACGTTGTCTTTCTTCCCTATTGCTGCATATTGTGTCACAAGGTAATCAAAAGCCATACTCCTCCGCCTTTTGGTAGTTAAGATGAGACTCTCAGATTTTGTCAGCATTGCCAAAGCCTTCTCTGTAAGCCCAGCTTTCAAAAACCCATTTGCCACAATTGAATAAGCATTCCAATCCAAGACAACCTTTGGATCAGATTCCATCCTCTGCAATATCCTGTCCATTCCTTCAACGTTAGAGGTGTCTGTGTATGTAGTCAGCAGAATGCTGAAGGTAAACTTATCGTATTGGATATCCTTTTCTTCCATTTCGTGTATCAGAGCATCTAATTTATCATGGTTTTCCGTCTGACGATAGAGATTTAGCATAATATTGTAGGTCAATGTCGCCCTAGACAATCCCAACTCCTTCATCTTCTGCATGATGGCCTCCGCTTTTTCCACAGATTTCTCTCGGGCATAGCAGTTGAGGAGGGCACCATAAGCCCCTATGATTTTCAATTTTTTTGGAATATTATTGAAATAATTTTCTGCTTGTTCTGTTCCATGAACTTTTGAGATCAAGTCCAGCCGGACAGCAATGTCACCAAACGAGAGTTCAAAACACCTTTTGTCACTCATCCATTGAGATACCTGAAAGTGAAAGGAAATAAAGATTCAGCTATTGGAATTCTGAGTATATGAAAATATTAAATTTCAGCGAATAAAGATCATTAAAATTGATGGACACAGACGAAAGACCATCCTAAGTTATATTTTTACTTCTCAAATAACATAAATCGGAGCATTATCATAGTTGCTACCAACAGAGAAGGATTTAATACTAGGAGGTTACACCCAAAATACCCCATACATCAGCCAAGGGTGTGACAAAACATGGAGCATGTGAGATGGCAAAGCAATATAAGGGAAACGCTCAGGGATATCTGATGCCTTGGCACCAAGTTTGAGATATAGTTGAGACCGGTTAGGAATTTAGTTTCTACAACTTCAAATATACGAAGAAGTTGTTGCACCCAAACATAGGATCAATAATGAAACTAAAAAAGAAAAAAAAATAAAAAAACAAACGCAAAATGAAGAAACAAGATTTAGATCATTACATGATAAGGATACCAAATCCACAACCAACAAAATTTAGTTTACAAGCATTCAGTTGCCTAGCTCTCATCAAGAAAACCCTAAGATTTGCAATCATATAAAAAAAACTGCTCCAAGGGATACTTTATACCCATTGACTTACTTGAGTATTTTTATGATTATAGCACTTATGAGAAAACTTTTTTTTTTTTTTTTTTTCGGTCGCAATTTTACATAAATTATAACTTATTTGATTAAAATAATAAAATTTTCTTAAGCTACAATTTTTTTTTTTTAATACTCAACTTGAGTACGACAAAAAAGCCAATCTCTTTTGTTTTAATAACTTTTGAGGACAATGATATTTGCACAAGGAAAAAGCTTATGGCAACTTATTTTAACCAAATAGGTTCCACTTTTTGACAGATTATCAAAATTATTCCAAACATATCTACAACTTATTTTAATTTTTGAAAGATGTTAAAGAGCATTCCTGGGGCATTGTTTGGGATTGTTGTAAAAAGTGCATTGAAAATGAATGAAAAGTTAAAAAGTACATACAATTTAATAAAAAAATCTATTGAATTCATTAAAAAGGGTCTCGTGTTTCTCTCTTTTTTTTTGTCTTGATTTTGTGTTCCATGGGAGCTTGTTAGCAAAACCCTTAATTTTTGTTAAGCTAATAAGTGCTACCAAATGGGCTGTTGTGTTTCCTTTATGTTGTGTTTGGTTGGGGGATTTGGGGAGGGATTTGGAAAGGAAAAGGGAAAAGGGGTGTGAAACTAAGTGAAATATAGGTGTATTTTATTCACATTTCACCTAACTTTTTCCATTCCTTTTCCAAATACCTCCTCAAATCCTCTAACCAAACACAGCGTAATAAAACAATTTTATCTGTAATCAAACATGTCTTTTCTCCATTTTTCTTTCCCATTTGGGTGGTAAAGGGCAAACAGACCTCAGTTCAAGGGGTTTACTGTAATTTCCTGTTCGACAATGCTAGGTAGCTCAAATTTTTGCGGCTCAAATGGCTCAAATTTGTCAAAACGATGTCGTTTTGACAGATTTTGAGTGTAAAACGACGTCGTTTTGACAGATTTGAACCATTTGAACCACAAAAATTTGAGCTACCAAACATTTTCCTTTCCCGTTTTCCAAAAAAAAAAAAAAGTGGGAAAATTAAAAAAAAACAAAAAACCTATTTATCAATTTAAACCTTAGTCTTTTTGATTTGTGAAAAATATATATATTTTAATTATTAACCTCAACAATAAATTTTTCTTTTTTTAGACATTTTACAATAATGACTAGAATATCATTTTTTTTAAATCAGTTTTACATAACAAATATAGATAAATAATTTAGATTTTAAAATTTAAAGTGATAAAATTAAAAATTCAGACACAAACCTTGATTTATTGATTTATTTATTATTTTCCCACCAAAAAAACTAAAATTAGCGAATAAAATATAAAAAAAATTAAAGAAGTGAAAATGAAACATAAACAGAAGAGAATGAAGAAGAGGGTGAGATAGACCTCAAGAGCGTGCCTGAATCGACTGTAACGTCTCAACTCCTTGACGATGTGTTGAAGCTGTTCTTTACTCACATTTCTTCCTTCTTCGATCCACCGATCCAGCACCGGAACGATCGACACCGTTGGTTGTCCCAGAGGCGAAATCCGACGGTACAAAGAGTCCCTTGGTTTTGCAGGCGCAGATACGGTTGATGTGGTCGAGTACACCAGAGCTTTTCCTAAACCAAAGCCACAGCAACATCTATTCAGATTCAGTGCACGATTCGACCTAAAAACCTTCATCCGAAGCTAAAAACCGAGCACTCAACAGAGATTTTAGAGAGAGAAAATACAGAAAACAGAGAGAGGGAGAGAGAGGGTTTAAGCGAAGTACGAAGTTTTGGGGAGTTTTTTTTTTTTTTTGGGGGGGGGGGTAAATTGCAATTTTCCCGTCACTTTTTTATTTTAGCTTTTAAAGTTTTTTTTTTTTAAAATTTAATTTTGGTCTTTTATATTTTAAATTTTTCTTAATTTGCTCTTATACATAATTTCGATTCAAAATTAAACAAAAAATATCATAATAACTAAGGCAAATTACCTACACCTCCCACGAGGTTTAACAAAATTACAAATTTTCTCTTGAGATTTCAAAAATTACATCTCACTCCATCATAATTAATGTCATTAACAGATATCATAAATTGACTAAAATATCCTTTTGACAAATAAGGACAAATTACCTATATCCCCAGTTAAATTACAGATTCTCCTGAGATTTAGCTAAATTACAAGTTTTTCCCTGAAGTTTAGCTAAATTATCGTTTTTAAACAAGTTATGAAATGTAAAATTTAAATGGAAAAACACTTATCACACTTCAAAAAATTAAAGTTTTAGAGGCCAAAATTTAGGGCCAAAATTATTTTTGGGGGACCAAATATTTTTGTTACAAAAAGTGTAATTATTATATTTTTAGTAACGAAAATTGAATATTAGCGATTAATTAAAATTAATTTGTTTAAGAAATAAAAAATAAAAAATAAATATTGTTTTTATATAATTTTATCTTTTGAGCAGTTAGAAATAATTTTTACAAGTTAAATATATTTTTTCATATTTATTTTTATTAAATTAGCTTTTATTTTTTTTTAAATTATAATTTTTTTTTTTTCTAAACAACAAATCAAACATGATTCCAACAACTTAATTTTTTTTTTCCATCTAACGTAATTCTTTTGTAAATTTTATTGATTTATCAAAGGAATTTCAGCATGGGCAATATCGTCCATCAATTTATATTTTGGTGATGTCAGCTAACCATTCTTAATATTTAGTTAACGGTAGGGGTTAAATTGTTATGCGAATACTAACCTTGGGAGCCGGGATGTAATTTCTGAAATCTTAAAGGGGAATCTATAATTTAGCTAAACTTCAAGTGAGGTGTAGGTAATTTGCCTTAATAACTATTACATAACATAAAAAATATATTATTATATTAAGATTTAAGTTTATATTTGATATATGAATTATCTAATTTTTAACAAAAATTAGCTTTAACAGTAAATTTTTTTTTTAAAAAAAAAACCTTGAAAATGAAGGGTTAAAGTGAGAAAAAACAAACTTTAAAAATCAAATTGGAAAAATGATCAAACATAAAACAGGCAGGGTCTAATTTGATGGAAATTTTACTTACACTAATACTTTACCTACTTACATCATTTTTATTTATTTATTTATTTATAATTCTTTTAGTACCCTCATCCCTAACCGTTCTTCTTATCCTTACATCTAAAGCCTAAAAAACCTTAACCCTAACCCTAATTCTCTTTCATTATCACCTCTAACCACCATCTTCATCGTCGTAGCCACTACTCACTGCCGCAGCTGCCTTATAGCCTAATTACCACCCCTTTCTTCTTCAGACACCACCATTGCCACTGCCCCAGTGACCCATTTGTTTCTTCTGCCACCTGCACGCCAAATTCCACTTTCGTTCTATTCTCTCTCATCTTCCGTCGTGTCTCACCATTGCTCTATCGCAACCTAGTCACGCTTTGCACTCATTTCTCCCGTCAAGCTTCTCAATCCTAGCCTCACCACAAACTAGACCCACCTGAACTACCACTGAGAAAATCGAGCAATAGAGAAAGAAAAAAACCCTAGGTTGTGGCAGTGAGGGATTGTGAAAGTGGCTGTAGCGATGGTGATGGTCATAGTATAGTAGGGCGGCGGAGAGATAGTGGCTGCAATGGTGAAGGGCTACATGATGACCGAAAGAAGAAGAAGAAGAAGAAGAAAAAGATGGCTATAGTGATCAGATGAAGAAGAAGTACAAAAGATGAAGAAAAGAAAGTGGGAGGGGGGAAGAAAACGGCTGAGGTGGCTGAAGGTGGAAGGAAATGTGGTCATTGGTGAATGTGGTGATTGTGATGGTGGTGATGGTCGCGACGGTAAGGCGACGAAGGGGGTGGTGGCTGCAATGGTAAGATGGTGGTCAGAGGTAATGGTGGTAGATATTAGGGTTTTTAGGTTTTGGGTGTAATAAAGGAATATGTTAGAAATAGGAGTAATAAAAGAGTTATAGAAATTTTAAAATAAAAAATAAATAAATTTTAAGAATGTTAGGAGTTAAAATAGTAATGTAAGTAGAATTTCTCCTAATTTATCATTTTTTTGGGTTAAATTACATAATAACCCTTTAAAATATGAGCCATTTATGTTTAATTCGACCATATAATATGACACATTTATTAAATTATTATTATTTTTTTTGTAAATTAACGGCCGTGCAAACTTGAGGAGTTGCTTTGTGAGATTTGAAGATGCGACTTCTTAGATAAAACTCTCTTAGTTGCTTTCTTCTCTCGTTAAGTCAAACCCTTGGCATTTGTATTTTAACATTATAATAAGGTGACTAATTGTTAAGTTTTAGAATTTATAGAGGCAAAATATAAATGAATCATAATTTAAAGAGATTTATTATAATATATTTTAGTTTTTGAGATTAGAACTCCTGGGCCGGATTTATTGGGCTGCTGCTGATGGCCTTCGATTTTGGCCCAAGATCCGTTTTTAGTCTGTTTATTTAAGTATTTTGTTTGGGCCTTCAAAATTTGGGCATGAATCCGGATAAAAAAAAAAAAAAAAACACAATTATATGGTTTTCATTGCTAGTCTTACCAATAAGGCTCGATTAATAGCATTTTAGTTTCTTGGGTGTTTCTCTTATTCAGGGCCCGCCCTGGGCTAAGGCGAGTAAGGCCTGTGCCTAGGGCCCCCAAAATTTGGTCAAAAATAGGATCTCAAATTTTGAAGATCCATTATACTATCAAGTTTTAAATAAAGTCCAATTATTGTTAGAAGTCCTCAAAAACAAAACAACCCACTAAAATAGAAATCCTCCAAAATAAAACAGCCCAAATAAAAACATGTTGCAACCCTATATTAAAAACAAATAAAAAAATTAGTCCAATTGAAAAAACAAACAAAGGGCCCAAATTTACTCAAGCAAACTTGAGTGGCCACTAGCAATTTTTTTTTTTTTTTTTGGGCATATGTACAAGGGAAGGGGCCCAAACTTAGAAACTCGCCTAGGGTCCTGAATTCTCAAGGCCGACCCCGCTCTTATTATTATTATTATTTTTTTGTAATTAGAAACAAAAACAAATTTGTACGTTTTCATTTCATTGTTACTCACACCTCATCCATTGTCAATCACCATTTCTAGCATCCTCACCGTCTTTGGTTCTTTTTTGATGTGACCACTAACTATAGCGATTATCTCCGACCAACCCTATAGTTAGTTACCCCATTGCCAACCATCAGCTCCACTGTGGTAAATATAACCAAGTGCAACAGTCGGATGGAAGAAAAAATTAGGCAAAATAAACATTGTCAAAAAATTAATGAAGCAACTTAAGAAAAACTACTACTTAATAATAGTCCATATAGTAGCTCCACCAAAAAATTACATATGTTTTTCTATTTACATAATTTTATATTTAATATTAATCTTATTTGATAGATACTAATAAGTTTAAAAAATATAAATTATATTAAAAATAATTATTTATAATACAAATTAAAATATTTTACACATTTTAAACTCTAAAAGACAAAGTCTATATCACATAGGCATGACTTGTGCATATGCATTTGAGGGTAGGCAGAAATTATCTTATGGATCAATTTATATTCATATAATCTACCATTCTAAGTATATACAATTAATTTCTTTTACATTTTCTTCTATATTTTAGACAAATTAATTATGTGTGTCATTAGTATAAGATTAACACACAACTAATTGATAATTCAAACAAAATCTTTTAAGATGGAGATGTTATCTACAAATAAATTCATAAATTGAAATTTGCTGCCAAATGAGTCTAAAATAAATAACTACTACCTTATAATAATCAAAAGTCATATTCTCTTTTGAATTTGATAACATAGACAGTCCCAGACGCTAAGACATTTGGAATAGTTCCAAGGGATTTGCTAAGAATTTTTTGGCATGCTTGCTTATTCACAACAAATTTCTTTTAGAAGACTAAATCATGATGGGACGGCTCACCAGCAGTGCAAGCATGAGGTAGAATGTTGATGGGTCAAGATAATTCTAATTAAGACTTTATATGTGTTTAGATGAAAATTTTCTTTTAATGATAAATTTTTTTTGACATTTGATATGATAGAAATGGAAAGTCAATGAAGATTGATTAAGAAAAATAAACATATTTACATAGAATATGTTTTTACTTTTAAAAGATATCGAACTAAAATTGCTATCACAATACCATTGCCACTATCATCGTTGTTGCCACTGCTACCGCTACCGCTACCACCACACCACACCGCACCAAAACACTATATAAAAAAAATTCTATTAAAACAAACGGAGCGTAAAAGGGTTACTTAAACACCAACTTATTGATTGATATTTTGTTTAGCTTATTAACGGGTTGTTTTCGGGTTATTTTTGTTTGTGTTGGATTTTTTAAAAATTATGTCAAAATCTTTTTGGATCTATCTAGATTAGACAATCCTGAAAATTATTAAAAAAATAAAATAATTGGAAAAAGCGTACTAAAGATGAAAAGAAACTAAATAAAAAAGAAAAAACTATAACCTATTTGTGTATTTTCTAATTTAGAAAAATCTAAAAAATAATATATTTTGAGTCAAAATTGGAAAAAAGTAGGTAAAAAAAAAAACAAAAAGCAATTAAAAAGGTGGGTAGGAGTGTGATTAAGCATAAGAAAGAATGGTACATTTGTATGTGAAGTTATAATCAAATGAAGAAGACCTCTTACCAGCAATGCCTATAGGTATAGGGTATATATGTCTTTCTTCATGTAATATCTTTATTTATTCAATTATTGTTTTGGTTTTGAAATCACAGTTTTTGTAATGTGTTATTCAATGCTTCAATT